TACCTTTAATGGCTTCAAATTCTTAAATATTCAAAGAATACTTAACTGAAGAGCAAAGTTAATTTTTCTAATTGGGGAGAACGTTTCACATTTATTCACTTAGTGTGGACTTTAGAGTTTAAGAAACCACTTCAAAGATTGAAGTTTAAGAGATGACTTCTCTTTCTCTTTCCGTCATAACATTATAGTTTCTGCAGATAAAAGGAATTTGGAGTCTCGTCTTCCTTCTCTAAGAGGCCCTGGATCAGGCAAGGGCTGGGTTTGGCCAAGGGCATTCTGAGGCAGGAAGTGAGGATGGATGCCTCCAGCTGGAAGTCATGTTAAGTGGGATCAACAGGTAAGTATCATAACTATGTCCTCAGGAGGGCCACACTAAGGAAGAACCTGGACCTTGATGTGGTTTCTCTGCCTTGGTAGGCTGGATAGAGGATCCTAAAGGAGTTAAAGTGGAATGGCAATTGCCCCCAAAGCTTCAAAATAAAAATACATGTTTTAAGTATAATATGTATATATAAATGTATAAGCCATGAAAGTTTGATTTATTTTCATGAACTGAACCCACTTCAAGACTCACTGGAAGTCCCCCACCACTGAGAGCTTCTTCCCATCAAGGGTAACCACGACCCTGACTTCTAATGGTGTAGATTAGTTTCACCTGGTTTGAACTTGTATGGATGGAATCTATCCTTGTGTCTGAATTCTTTCACCATTAAAGCTGTTGTGTGAATCCACTGTGCTTTCCTTCTCATTGCTCTACAGCCTCCCACGGGTGAAAATACCATGATTTATCTGTTCATTCTAGGTGATAGGTATTAAATAATTTCTACTTTTTATTTTTTTTGCTAGCTTGAACAATGCTTCAATGAACATATATCATCATTTTTTTGGCAATACACACAGTAAGCACTTCTATGGGGTACATCCTAGAAGTGGAATGGCTGGGCCACAGGTATGTATACACTTAGCTTTAAAAGATACTACCAGAGTTTTTTGTTGTACCAATTTGCCTTTTTCCAGCAGTGAGAGTTCCCAGAGTCTTATTAAGGAACACGTGGTATTTTCTATCTTTTAATTTTAACCATGCTGGTTGGTTATGCACATCTTTGAGGTAAGAGTCGGGTTCCTTCTCTTTCTCTCATCTTCTCCAGAAAAGTAAATGTCAATTAGATATGGTGGTGCCAGCTGTCATAACTAGCAGACACTTGGGCTCCCTCTCCCAGGATGTCCAAGCAAGTGTTGGCAAGCTGGTACAATATGGAGGAGTTATAGAGGGTGAAGCTGGCAGGCCATGAATTCAATGACTTTTGGAACTTTCAAATATCTAGGGAACTGGTCTTCTAGTTCCTGCACTTACAGATGGCATGTGTGAACCTGGAAGACAATCAGTCTTCCACATGGATGTCTTTGTGAGATCCAGGCTTGACTGGTGAAGTCCTCAGTCCCATCTATCAGAAAATCCAGGGTCCTTCCAGATAACTCATGACTCCTGAGGTATCGACTGGCTGCCTCATGCTGGAGAACCTCAGAAATTGTAGCTACAGTTATCATGAATGGGAATATGATGTAAAGAAGTGAAGAAGATTGTACAAGAAAGCTGTCAGTATAAGGGGAATAACACTGAAGGTATTTCTTCTAGTACCAGGTTAATAAGTCCTGACTGGTCATGAATAAAGGTCAGGTGGATACAAACTTGTAAAATGTTAAAGAAACCTTCTAAAAATCCAAACATAACCTGAAGGCCAGCTCTGTGGAGCTATGTTCCAGGGGTGCCATATGCATAGTCAGTAATGGAATGTGAAGGCCTATTTCATGGCCAAAGAGGAAAGGCTGGGGAAGAAGCCTGGTGTGCTCACATGCAGAGAGATCTGTGGGTCAGGAGTTTGTGCTGCATTCCCATAAGACATCTATACCTGCTCATGACTTGACAAGTATCATAAATACTGTGAGGAAGGAAGTCAAGCAGAAATTCTTGAACACTGCATTTAGGTTCAAACAGGCTTGGAGGCAAATCAGGGACATGGTTTGTCTGATATAAGCAACATCTGGTGGAACTTCTGCTCAGCTGAGGGTACAGTTATTCTCACAGGGTGGCCTTCGAAAGTTCTAGATGTTTTAGGCACACTGTGCAGAGGTCACCTATTGCCCATGCTCTCTGTTACTTGAAACTGGATTTAGATACCCATGCAGCTTCTGACTCATTCACAGCTCTAATCAATTCTGTTTCCCTCTTCACTTAGCTCTGTCACCCTAGGATGGTAGAAAACACCTGCATGGTGGTTCTGATCACCAAGTGTAAATGGAAAACAAGGTTGAACCCCTAAAGAAAGTGGCTATCCAGTCTGATTTTTTTTGGGGGGGTGCTCCACCACTGAGCTATACCCCAGCCCTTTTTATTTTTATTTTGAGACAGGGTCACACTAAGTTGCCCAGGGACTGGCCTTAAATGTGCAATCCTCCTGCTTAGATCCAGGTCACCAGCTATCCAATCTTAGAGCAGGCAGGACTAGGGTTTTCTTCAGATAGTACAGACTATAGTGATCTGAGAGCATCATCCTAGAGCAGGAGAGAGGAGGTGCTAGGTCTTTCTAGGAAGAGCCTTAGCATATTGAAGGCAGCCATAACACATGACAGCCTCTCACTTGGGGTAAAAGCATATCTGGGCTAGCTCCTTCTGGAGTGGGAGCAGAGAGTGCTGGACAGTGTGATTTCCCTCATGGGATCGATGACATCACTGTCAACTGCTGGCCTGATTGGGGGTGGGAGAGCCAACAGGCAACAAAATCTTCAGCCCTAAAAGAATGGGGCTGCACTCAGAGCCTAAAAGAATCTCCTTCACTTTGAGAGGCTAGTAGTAGTGGACAGCAGATAATATGACAGGAACTCTCAGCATACTTGGCAAACTCCAAAAACTCAGGAACTTCTACAGTGTCCTGAAGGACTTTCGTTCTAGAACTACCAATATCTTTTTAAGAATTACATTGATGCTTGGACAAAATGGGAGCTCAGGGGTTCTAGAACACTAGAATTCTAGAGGTTAGCACGAGGGCTACTACCCTGTTATAAGTGGCTTGGGACCATCTGTGTGAAGTGGGGGAATATTGGAGGGTCTATACAAGGTTGGGCTGAGGAAATGAATGGTTCATTGTGTGTCAATCTTTCTGTTCAGCAGGCCCTGTGCTTTTATTGCTAGCAGATGGTCAGGCACTCAAAGGTCACGAGACACGATGGCTTATTGGATCTGCTAGAGGTAGGTATGTCTCTACATGTCACAGTGCTACCGGTATGGCCGTGGGGAGAGGTGCCCTAATTCTGTGAATCAGACCACAGATACAAAAGAACCTGGGCTGTGGGACTGGATGGGAACCTTACATGATGGTCACATTTGAGTTGTGGCAGTCATGACAATGGGTTCCATCCACAGAAAAGAGCAAGTGGCCAAGAAACCCCAATATAAGCTGAGGTCTCTGCTGATAGAAAGCCTTGGTTTCAGGCTTGAAAAGAAAGTCTACTATATCACAGCTGGGCGTGCTACAAGCCTTAGGCCCCGGGCCAGTTGTGCATTTGGAACACGGGTGCAGCTCTTCTACTTCTGCGTCTAAATGCTCTTCTGCCAGGTGGTAGATTCAGTGGGATCCTTGGCAAGGGTGTGACGGGGAGGTAGTAGGTATGATGGTGGTGCCACAGGATCATTCAGGAGGCAGAAGTGACATGAAGTAGTAATCAGACTTCTAGCTGGGACAAATACAGAAGGCAGGAAAACACAGGTGGTAGGCTGAAATTGATGGGTACAGTTTCCTGACCCCTGGTCTAAAGTGTATACTTATTAAAGGAATGGTTATCTGGATGTGCGAGGCACACAGGAAGGAATGGACGTGCTGAGATGATTCTGTCCATTCCTTTCTTTTACAGATGAGCTGAGGGAGGCCTTGACACTGAACCAGGGGGAGTTGTGGAGTTGGGAAACTCCACTCTTTAGGGCCTCCCTCTGCTTTTCCATTTTGAACACTCCTCTGGTCATCTTGTTAAGGGCAGGGCATGACCAGATTGGTGACCTTGTTTAGAATAGGGTTAAAAAGGGTTTCTTGAGCTGGGGTTGTGGCTCAGACGTAGAGCAATCGCCTAGCATGTGCAAGGTCCTAGGTTCGATCCTCAGCACCACATAAAAATAAGTAAAATAAAGGTATTGTGTCCAACTACAACTAAAAAAAATAAATATTTTTTTTATTTTTAAAAAGGGTTTCTTTTTTTTTTTTTTAATTTTTTATTGTTGGCTGTTCAAAACATTACATAGTTCTTGATATATCATATTTCACAATTTGATTCAAGTGGGTTATGAGCTCCCATTTTTACCCCATATACAGATTGCAGAATCACATCAGTTACACATCCATTGATTTACATATTGCCATACTAGTGTCTGTTGTATTCTGCTGCCTTTCCTATCCTCTACTATCACCCCTCCCCTCCCCTCCAAAAAGGGTTTCTTAAAGGACCTATAGAAAATAGTAAAATTGTCCTTCCACTTTGCTGCTGTCCTGTGAAAGTAGCCACAGACAATTCATGAATGAGTGTGTGTGGCTGGGGCCTAATCCTAATTCCTAAACTGCAGGAAAACTGGTGGCTTGTGTAGGCTGTGTTTGTTCATTCCTGCTTTGGAACGGCTATTAAAAGCAGGTATCTCTCCTCATTTCTTTCTGAAGCTGACCATTTGTCAGAGTGACTAACACGGCCAGGCCACTCCGAGATGAGGCCTGAGATGAAAACCTGCGTCTTCCCTTGGCATCTTTCAGGAAAACACACAATACCAGAGGGCAAACACTTTTCCAGTGGTGAGCACTTTTTTAGAACTTACGATATAATAAGAGATATCCAGACAAGACTACTGTTCCTTATAATTTTGGGGAGGGGGAGGGAGACAAGTTTTTTTTTTTTTCCTTAAAGGAAGATTACTAAATGGAAGCATGTTTTTTTGATCTAAGAAACTGAAGACTGATTTTTACCTTTTGAACCAAGTAGACACTTGTGGCTCTGTCAGCGGCCACCTTATCCAGATGGGATCCTTCGGGAACAAAGTAACTCACATCGGCAATGTGGACGCCCACTTCAAAGGTGCCTGTAAAAGCAGAAGGAGGACTATCAGCCTGGTTTGGAAGGCCAGGGTAACCCTCCCAGGAGTCCTCTCTAAGAATGCATGTCACTCCCAGAGGCCACAGGCCCTGAAGGGCAGGCTGCCATTTTCTGCCTTGCCAGATACCCCTCCTAACCCCAGTGACCCGCACCATTGTCACTTTCCTTATTATACACCAAAAGATGGTGGGATTTTTATTATGAACAGACAGGATAAACCATTTTCTCCCATTTCTAAATGTTTCTAATCTTCGAATAAATATCAGTAAATTCACAGAAGAAATCTTATTTAAAATTTCCTTACAACACTTCTTAAAATATATGTATTGCTCATTCTAGATGATAAATAAAACACTTTCAGGTCACTACAAGAGAGCTAATCCCCAGATCCTTTAAGACTCCGCTCTAAAAGCTTTGCCTTCCATCCATCCCCATGGCCCCTCATCTAGCCCTCCAGACTGTTGCTGTAATCATTCTACACATGCTGCTCCTTAGCCTGCCCCTCACGTCCTTGCATAATTTCACCCCAATCTACCATCAGCCTCAGGGCCTATCCAACACACACTCTGGAAGCAGCTGTCATGGGAACCTCTTTCTACTCCCTGAATGCATCTTACCTCACCCTGCCCTGACGCTCACTGGGTTTCATGCCTTTTCCCATGATTGGAATAATCTTAGCAAAGAGAATCCCCAGCAAAAAGAGATTCTTCTGCCCTCTTTTTTTTCCACCTGTGCTGTTTAAGCACCTACTGTGTACCTGATGCCAACCATGGGCTGTCTCTAGGGCTGTATCTCTACTGGATGCCATAGGATTTTCATTTGCTTATGTGCGTCTTGTCTAACTCTCTCTCTCCCTACAGGGTAAATTTAGCCAGTATGGCCTTTCCTGCAACATTCCTGCCCAGTGCCTGGACAGTGCCTGGGTAGGTACTTATGAAATAACCTGTTGAGTGACAAAGCTAATAGGCAGTAGGTCAATTAATGGTTTGTTTGCCTGTTGTTTTTTCCCTCTACTTTTCTCTTTTTTTTACTTTGCAGTGGAGGGAGGTGTCTTTGATAGGCTTTTCTTTCCCTACTAGTTATTCCAGAGAGGTGAGATCGCCCTGCCTGGTGGAACTTGTACCTTAAATATAGTTGGAGAGGCATTTAGGTTATAAAATTGAGAACTACTCTTGAATATCCTGTATATCATCTATCAAACATGGTGTGAATATAAATATAAATACACACCCAAGACACACATATGTAATACATATACATGTGTGCTTATGTATGTATATGTGAATGAACTGAAGATACAAGCACAGGCTTGGAGATGCTTCAACTGAAGTATACACCTGCTGCAATTCCACTACCCTACACCCCTATTAACAGTGACTGGTCTCAGCATAGGCCTGTGACTCAAGTAGGTTTATTCTGAGACTGTTTGTGGGATGGAAATGGACTTTAAAAAGAGGTTCTCTCTCCTGGCATCCCAGACACTAAGGATCGCATAAGCCTGGAACTGCCAGGAAACACCTTTGCTATACACTTCATAACAGAGAGAGGTGCCTTGCAATAGGACCTTTCTTCTTACCAGTTATGCCAGAGAGGTGGCCAGATCACCCAATCAATATAGATCCACCAAATCACTCAGGCCAGTAGAGGAAATCACGAGTCTAAAAGAATTACCATGGCTTTATCTGAACTTCAGGATCCAGCTGAAGCTGAACCAATCCCCTTCCAGTTCTTTGACTCACTCAGGAGCCCTGCCTGACCCTTGCTGACTGGAAGAGCTTATTAACACATTGCCACTTGCTCCTCTGGTGAGCTGGATTATCAGTCTTAAGGCATCAGATATTTTATCTGCAAAATTTGTATCTGCAATGCAAAGTTCGTGATTCTTTATTATCCTCCTACTCCTTTGTCACTGGCGACAGTTCTTCCCCTCAGTTTTTAAAACATGGATGCTGAAATAAAGGGTTCAGACAAGGAAAAGAATTTCAGATTTCCCCCTTCTTTATCTGCTCTGACACGGAGACCCTCATACAGGGCTTTTTTATTTTTATTTTTTTCCCCCTGCTTGATCCTATAGCATTTCTACATTAGGGAAAAGCAAAGTTCATCTAAAAGAGCCTGGTGCAATGGGGTGGTCCCACAGGCCTGTCTCCCACAGGAAGAGCTGTCTGCAGAGCTGGGAGAAACCAATCTGGCCCTAAATCTGGTGGCCTCGCTGGACCAAGCATGCAGCTGTGCCGTAGGGTCACTAGGAGTAGTGATCAAGGAATTCGCTCCCCAGTGGCTGCAACCAGAGTCTCAGATGGCTAAGCTTCTAGTTTTGATATTTCAAGTATCTAAAACCAACACTTGAAGAAGGTAAAATAAAGTGTCTTCTTTTGAAGTCAGGATTATAGTATGTTGGCCTCACAAGTAAATATTGACTAAAGGAAAAGAGAAAGGGTTATTACATCATGAAATAAACCATAATTTTAAATTTGGGCTCTGTTGTTACTACACATGAACTTTCTGTCCTTATGAAAATTGACAAACTGACAAAGAGTTCATTACAAGAGATAAAACATGACAGAGGCCAATCAAAACCTATTCAAAAGGCTTCAATTTCACTCAGAATTCCCAGCAGAGCCTCTAAAACCAGCAAAGAGACACTTTCTTATTCTCTGCTTATGACATTTTTATGGAAACCCTAAGTAAATATTTTATTACATATATTTACATAATGTGAACTTGCAGAACTCTTGAGGTAGTGGCACTGAAGTTTTAATTCTGTGAAAGAGAACAAAAAAACTCCAAAAGGTTCTACAGCATATGCTGCCATGACATTGAGGATGAACATGGCATGTTGAAAAATACTCTCTTTTAATCTCATTAAAGGAATATAAAAGCATTTATTTAAATTTCTTTTTAATTTAAAAATTTTACACATATTGGGGATGAGGGGAGTACCATGAAGTTTTGAAGATCAGTGGAAGCAGAGACAGGAAGGATCTCCAAGGCTGGCCAGGGTCCCCAAGCTCAGAGGAATACAAATAATACTCCTTTGAATGAACTTAGTAGTCTACTGGAACTGCTTTGCCCAATTAAAACACCAAGGGCTTAGAAACCATCACATCCAAGTTAGCCTTCTGGCCAGTGCAGCCACTTCCCAATAGTGTCCTTGTCAAGTGGCCCCTGATGTACCCTTAGTGTGAAGAGCTTACATTGTCTTGAAGCCACTTGCTCTATTTCTGAAGAGCCCCAGTATGAAAGTGCTTCTCTGCACGGATCTGTGCATAAGCTTATGCGGAGTTGCATAAGCCCGCACTGGGCATCCCTAGGTGGAGATCCCTCTCCTAAAGGAGCTCTTGGTCTAGTGGGATGAGCAGATACACTCACGTTGCAACCATATGATCTGATAGAAGGAAGTCACACAAGCCCACGGGAGAGGACTGCACTGCAACCTTGAGAATGTATGTAAGTGTTTTGTAATCTATGACAACTCCATGGGCTTAACACTGGCAGTGACCATTGTAACAGGACAAGAGGAGGGATCACTTATTAAATGCTCCTCTGTGCCAGGGGCTTCACACACAATATAAGCTTGACAACAGTCATGCAAACCATTTTGCACAAATATACCAAATGAGACTCAGGGAACTTCAAAGTTGCTTATCCAGAAACCTAGTGAGGAACTGATAAACCTCAGATCCCAAACTAGGTTGGATCCCAAGCTTTTGCTCCTTTTATTACCCCTCCCCTCCCCCACAGTCACTTCCAGGATAAGCGATACAACCTCATTTTTTGTCTTCGTGGGCCACAACTCAAAATCCCTCCCTATCTCTATGACTCAATGGAAGCCACATTCTTAGCTTTGGATTCAGAAGTCCTTTTCCCAGCCTTGTTCACAGCCACACCCCTGTCCCTGAAGGCTCTTTTGGATCCCACTGCCAATCTCCTTAACCACTTGTAGCAGGGCCTGATCACAGAACAACCACTAAATCATAAACTCCAGTTCTCTTTAATTAGAAGAATAAGCCCTTAAAACCCCAGTAGTTCCTTTCTGAATTTCTAGCTTAGAGTCCTCTTTAGCTGGGAGCAGGGTGATTATCTTAACTACTAAAAAAGCCCTGTGCCAGGCATGAACACTACCAGGGCTGCCACCAATTAGGGGTGGGGACATAGCAGGCTTCTCTTACCTGGAAGGAGACCTGGGCTTTCAGACTTGGGTCACCCGAGCTTACCCTTACCCACCACTTAGACTTCACAGAAAGTATTCCTCTGGTGACAAAGGTTCTTCACAGAACATAATAAAACGTGCTGCAACAGAGTGACTGTTTGGGTCTTCCCCAAATTCACACATGCCCAGTGTGTGTGCATCTGGAATGGGGCCTCTGGGAGGTGACCAGGCCATGTAGGCAGAGCCCTCACCAATGAGATTAGTGCCCTTATAAGAGATCCCAGAGAGTTCCCCATCTGTTCTACCACGTGAAGACACAGCAGGAAGGTGCCATCCCTGAAGCAGGAAATGTCCTCACAGACACTGACCTTAAGACTGTGAACTTCCCAGATTCCAGAACTGTGAGAAATAAGTTAGCATCATTCATAAAGCACCCAGTCTGCGGTACTCTGTAAGAGCAGCATGAGTGATGCCTGCAACCCTCTGAATCAAGAATGTAGGGGAAAACACTGCTGAATGTGCCTCATCAGCAAAAGTCACTGATGACCTGCATCACTAAACCCAAACCCTGCCAGGCCTGACTTTACAGTGGCATTCGAAGCCATTTTTCCCTCATTAAGGTCCCCCTCCCCCTCTGGCCCTGAGCTCCCAGGGTCTGCTTTCTGTGGCTGCTCCTTATTCCTCGGTTTGTTCTGCACATGTTGGTGTGCCCAGCGTCTGCTCCGCCCAGCTGCCTTCTCTTCTAATCCCACTCTCCCGGGGATTAGACAGTGTCTGACTGTCTCATCTATTTCCAGTGGTTCAAGCATCACTTCTGGGCTTTGGTCTCCTGA